GCTGCCGCAGGCTCGGTCAAGGACCCCGCGAGTTTCAGCTCTGCCAGCAGCGCAGGGAAGGGTGCAAGAGCAGCGTGTGCCGGCAGCGGCTTTTCCCCAGGTGTGCCGCTCGGCTCCCAGCAAGCAGGGACCTGCGGGCTTCCCCGGCCAGCTGCTGGAGCTGGACGACTGCGTCACCAGTCTTGGGTGAGTGGATCTCGCCCCTTTTTGAAATCTCTTCCGCCCAACCCTAACACGTTCCAAAAACGTAGTGGAAAAACACGAAGAAAAGCACTTCTGTCTAGTTACACCGACTCTCTAATCACTTCAGTACATGCCCTGCCGTTCTCACAAGTTCAGTTTTTCCACACGATAGATGACTTCACAGGCTCTGTCAGATCCCATTTAATCCTCTTTCTTTTTTAAGCTGAAGAATCTCATCTGTTTCGTGCCGGGGCTGGTCAGCCTTGCTGCCCATCCTTGTGCATAATACTGCTCCCGTAAGTGATGCAGTTAGCCCTTTAGTTCGCATGGTAGAAGCCGATGTTACAGCACCCGAGCTCAAGCCTTGCTCCCAGTCTGTGACTGCCAATTGTGGAAATGGGAAAATATTTTCCTTTTCTTTGCTTACAATTCTGCAGACGGTAACTGAGGACAGTCAGTTGTCATCTCGCAATCCGACAGCTCGCCACAACCACCGCATGAGTGGCCTGCACGCAAGAACTTGAGAACAACTACGCCAGACAAATTTCCAAATGGTTAGTTAGCCAGGAAGCCTAGAAGAAAGCCGTATGGATTAAGTAGCCAGGAATGCTCTGAGCCGAGGGCAGCACCGCTCTGATGCAGCTACTATTCTCTTCATCAGCAGCCATAAGACACGGGTCCTGGGCCCCCATCCAAGCAGCTGTGACTCAGATTTGAAGTGCTGCAACGACAGTGCTCTCCTGTGGATGCACTGGTTGCTCAGTGCCAGTAACTGGATGATGGAGAGCGATACGAGCAGGGGAGAAGCACCATCCCTGTGCTCGATTCAAATATGTAATGGCAAATATAATTAATCTGCTTTCCAGGTGCTGCTGTACATTCAACACTTATCAGCTGTCAAAAAACACATGACTGATTAAAATTACTTGCTTGACCTTTAAAACGTACTTGAAAATCCGTAGATGAGACCAATCAGTGGTACATACCCATCTGAATAATAACAGAATTTTGAATCTCTAGCAAAGGCTGTAAGAGGAGATTAAAGGCTCGATGCCACAGCGTGACATGCACTATATGAACCCAGGATGGGAATCTTCCAAGGACTTTTACAGAGCATTTTTTCTACTGCCTGAAGTAATGTTTATGGCACATAGGGCAAGAGTTGCTCTTTCTCTGCCCTGAGACTGTTGACCATCATCTGAATAACAAGGAAAAAAGCCCGCTGCAGGTAAAAATAAATATATTTACTCTACATCATCCTCCCTGTGCTTTGGTTCCAGACAGTGCACTGCATTCCTTAGGGATGAACAGGAAGATCTGCTCCCACCACTAGTGAGAGTTCAGTTCACAGGCTCAAACTAGAGTAAATCCACAATAAAATAGCAAAATGTAGTAGCATAGATGTTGGTTTACCAGGATTGTTTCCCTCTGCAAATCTTCTCCTATTGGGCCACACTATATGCTACTTGTGAACACAGCCCTACAGTAGCCCAGTATGGCTGAACACAAGATGGCCATGGAATGAGCTCAGGTCCTAGGAGCCAGATCATCTGCATTACTTACCTGCAAGCTATTTGCTGGTTCTCTCTCTGGCTCTGTTTTGGACCGCTCCAACTGCCCTTCTCCTAAGCAGTGTGAACATGAGTCAGTCTGTGTCCCCTGGCCGTGCGATCCCTGGCCCTTCTTGGTTTGGTAGTACAGATGTCGCCCCAGAGATGAAGGACAGTAGGATAGTTCTTCCTGCCACTGTTGGGCAGATACTGCAGCCCTCGCTTCCCCCTCACCTGGAGATAGTCATGAGATCTGCTGAGACTGGATACCAGATCTGACTGCCATAAAAAATCAGAGAGTACTTCCCAAACTGTGACTCCATAGGTCAGGTACAAGAGGTCACGTGTTGCTGATTAGTCTCATTATCATTTAAAAAGAGCTTAGAAAATGTCATATGAAGTGAAAGACTTGGAGACCTACAGATGTATTCAATTGGTAGGATGATCCCTTGCCCAGATGTTCAACAGGCAAGAAAGCTCTGCTGGGGAAGAGCTTAGGGTGCCACACAGATCTTCATCTGGGCCTTCTGACCTGTAGCCTGTCCCTCTGCTGACACTTGGGGAATCACCAGAAGAAACATGAGCAAACATTTTGGTGGGTGGACTTTTGTCAGAGAAAGACCTTTCAACTTGATGTAAAGAGCTCCTCTGCAAGGAGCTAGGACTCCATCCAAGGACCTTCAGCACTCAGACCCTGTGATGAAAGTATGGCAGAGGGGGCAACCACAGAGCTCCATGGGCTCTGGTGAAAGTCCGCCCTGCCTTGTCCTTAAAAAAGCTGAATCATAAAACCACAGGGCCCTGGGGTAATTCAGGTTGGAAAGGTCCCCAGGAGGTCTCAAGTCCAACGGGCCCTTTGGTCTTCTGGCCGTGCTGAAAACCCAAGTTCACAAATAGTTTCAGCTCCCCACAACTCCACTGGAGGGGAAGGAGGAGGAATAAATTACTTGCCATTTCCCCCCAGCAACTTGTAAATAGAAAAGCTCGACCTCAATGCAACCAGGATGGCTATGCCTGCTGGACTTTTTTCGGGAGTTGAATAAATTTAGTATGTCGAACCTTCTACAATGAGGCTGTCAGGGGAAAAGTTTTAATAGTTTAAAGGCACTCTGACTGCAGTGTATTTGCTTATAATGTGGTAAACAGAATGATTAAAAACCTTATATTTTGCGTCTTAAAATTCTTAAGATGCTCAAGAACAATTATTTCTTCTTACTGTCAGAGTTTGCTTTGCTAAGACAGCATGCACGAGCTGCTAGACAGATTTGGAAGCACTTTGAGCCCCTTGAGAAGAAGCAATAGATACGAGGACACTGCTGGAAGGATAAGCAAGATGAAGATGCTCATCTGTGAAGATGAGTACTTGTATCTCCCAACATCTCTTCCCCACCGCTGCTCTGCAGCCTTGCTCCTCTGGTGGTCATGAGCTCCATTTTCAGCTGAAACTTATTCACGGGTGGGCTACACGGTCCTCCAGCTCAAAGGCTGTTTTCCCCTCATTGGTGTTTACCCTCCAGTGCAGGCAATGAGAGCAGTCTTGTTCTGCCTGCAGACAGGAGACCAAAACAGAGCCACTGTTTCAGTCTCCTTTGAGAAAATAAGCCATTTCCTCTCTAACAGCTTTTCTGAATCCACCAACACAAGTTGAACAGGGGCTGGATCGTGGGGAGCAAGAACCAAGTGCAGTATTGCAGACGGGGCCACACGCGCCATGTACTCACCTCTCCCGTGGAAACACGTCGCCGGATAGAGCTGACGGCCAGGCTGCCTTGCCAGGCCACGTTTTGGGAGCAACTTGCAATTATTCTCCAGTCTGCAAACACATTCAACCCTTTGATCTCCTCCGTCGCTCCCAACTGCCAGCCTCCCAGATTATGCCGGTATTTCCTCCTGCTACCCCCTAATCACAGTACCACGCCACCGATAACCGTCGTGCAACCGCAAACCCAGCTGCCCACAGAGGCAGGGCACACGGAGCCAGTGCCCCACCGCTCGCCGCGTCCCTTTCATCCTCTTTTATTATCGCACGTCCTGCGCTAACCCTGGCAGATTCTGGAGGAAGACTCGAGGCAA